AGCACGGAGCGCGCCAGCCGCTCGGACGCCGTCGGCCGCCCCGACGCCGAGGGCGGCGCGGTCGACGCCGGAGGAGGCGGGCGGGCGGGAGCCTCCGGCGTCCGGCGGGGCTGCCTGGTCCCGTCGTCGTCGGCTGCCGCCGTCGCGGCCTCGGCCACCGCCACCGCCGCGTCGTCGTCGTCGTCGTCGTCGTCGTCTTCTCCCGCTCCTGTACTTTGTCTCCACTCCTCCTTCGCCTCCTCCTCCTTCTCCGCCTCCTCCTCCTCCTCCGCCTCCTCCTCCTCCTCCTCCTCCTCCTCCTCCTCCACACCAGCTTCCCACGATGTATGATGTTTTCAATCTGGGCGTTTTTGTCCATAGGTTTTGGCTTCTGGATTAGGTTTTTTTTTGTGTTTTGTTATATATATAAAGATATGTATATATAGGTCTATAAGTTTCGCCAGCAACAATCTGTGTGTAGGGAGACATGCCCGACCTAAGGGTAGGGGGAGGGGGGGAGGCTTCTTAGAAACGCCCCTGCTTCTAGGGAGCCTTCCCCCCTCCCTTTCTACACTTTTGGGCGCGCCGCCTAGTAGTGACAAGTCACGGCGGGAGTCCTAGACCCCAATTGTCTGCGGCATTTTTCGGGCAAGATCGATGTATGAGTCGGGGCTGGACAGAACCCCCAACAGTGACACGTCGATTAGTGAATTGTCCGTTTTCGGTTCTCGAGAGGGCGCCGTGGCCGTTATTTTCCAGGCCTGCGCCCGCCAGGTTTGGGCCTCAGGTCGTTTTCACTAAACCGCGTTTTACTAAAGGGAGGTCTGTCCATCCCCGAATGAGGGTTATAGCAACTGGGTGAACCGGCACGTTGTGGAATTGCGGCGCCCGTGTCTCGGGGGAGCACGCCTCACGAGCTCCTCCTCCTCCTCCTCCTCCTCCTCCTCCTCCTCCTCCGCCTCCTCCTCCTCCTCCTCTTCCTCCTCCTGCCCCAGAGGCTCCAGAACGGCGCGACAAGCTGGAGGTGTCCACCTCGGGCGATCGGATCCCCTTTCCGGCAGCGCCCGGCCCCTGGACCTCCCGGGCGTCGGCGGCGCTGCGTCCATATAGCGGCTCGGACAGGGAGAGGCCCATGGCGCGTGCGCGCGGCGGAACAAAAAAGCACGTCGGGGGGCCTTTTGCCAGGCGTCGGGCCTCCGGGCGTCGTCGCCGGGCCCCGGGCCGTGAACAGGCCTGGCATCGCTCGGACGTGTGCCTTTTTCCCTTCGGCGAGGAACATCGAGGAGCAGCCTTGACCATGTGGCGAAAAAGCCACGCACGAAACCAAGAAAAACACAGGGAATGGATGTCCGAGCGATGGCGAGCAGGCGACCCGCGAGGAAGAACCGGCCCCCTTGGCAGAGAGAGGCGGAGTTTCGGGGGACCCCAGGCAGGACATCCCATGTCTGGGTAGGCGGAAGTCGGGCATGCCCCTCTGCAGGAGGAGTGTTCAAGCATGCTCAACTGGGGGCGGTCTTTCGTGCTCTTTTGGCCACTGCTTGCTTTCTGTTTGTCCTTAGTTGCATGCTTCTCTCAAAAAACGCCTGTAGGAGAGGAGGAGGAGGAGGAGGAGGAGGAGGGGGAGGAAAGGAGGAGAAGGAGGAGGAGAAGGAGGGGAGGAGGAGGAGGGAGTAAGGAGGAGAGGGAAGAGGAGGAGGGGAGGGGGAGGAGGAGGAGAAGGAGAGGGGATGATGGGGAGGAGGAGGAGGAGGAGGAGGAGGAGGAGGAGGAGGAGGAGGAGGAGGAGAGTATGCCTCCCAGCTCGGGCCGAAGCAGGTGGGCCCCGAGGGGCGCGCCGCGCCGCCGAGTCCTCGGCGCTGCGGGGGGCGACGTGGAGCCCGACCTTCGGAGGCGACGCTGGGGGCGAAGATATCGCCCAGGGGCGGGCATCACGCGCAGTCGCCCCCAGTTACCAGTTTGAAACATATCCCTAGCCCTATCTTTGACATCATCTCACCTCGATGCCGATCTTAAGGATCCCCTCCGTTTCTGAGGGCCTGTCCCTGAGATTGTCCTCGCTTTTTGCTCGCCCATCTTAGGGATAGGGACACGTTCGAGGCTGGTTACCCGGAGCCTCGCCGAGGGCATGGACCACCGGCGCCCCTGGATGCCATGCATCTCGCCCTCCACTGGGCTGTTCGCCCCCTCGTCGCCCCCGTCCACGCCGACGCATCGCCAACGCCTCGCCGACGCCTCGCCGACGGCATCGGCGGCCCCCCGCTGACCCCCATCGCCTCGGATTCCCTGCGGGAGGCCTGCGGAAAGGACAGGGGCCGAGATGGCCCCCGCTGAAGAGCCGATCCCTGGGCGAGGTCGGGGGCCCAGGGGCCCGCGCGTGGAAGGCGTCGGGGCGCCAGATTGAAGTCGGGCGTGTCCCTCTACAGGGGGAATCACAAGAAATAGCGAAAATTCGTATGGGGATTTGTTTGGGGAGTTTTTTTTTTTTTTTTTTTTTTTTTTTTTTTTTTTTTTTTTTTTTTTTTTTTTTTTTTTTTTTTT